GGGGGGGGCAACATAAACAGACCTATTTTTTATCAAGGTCTGCTTTAAAACAGCACATGATTTACAACAACCCCTTTTTTTCTATATGAAGTAGTGAGTGGTGGTAAGAGCAGATCTTTTGCCATTCAGTAGCTGTTCCTCTTTTCCATCTCAGAGAGCTGGGTGGTATGCAAGGGTTAAATTGAATTAGTGACAATTTCTTACCACCTGGTTCCTTAACAACATCTTGTTTCTCTTGACTACTATCAGTGTCCTTCTTAATGTTCTCTACTTCGATCCAATAGTCCTCCAGAGACAGTTCATCTAATGAATCTTGTGATCCAGATCGGTTGAAAGATACTTTATCATTTACATTTTCATGATTCATTGTATACTGCCCAGATCTGCGACTGCAAAACAAAAACTTAAGTTTAAAAATGACACTCACATATTTGAACTTTTTTTGTTAACTACTAATTCAAAAGACAGGACACCAGACAAATTTACAAGAGATGTACAACCTACAATGAATTAATTTAAACTAAAAACACTACATATCAAGTACATTTTAATTCAAGTTGGGTAACGTTTTGCCTTTATTCTCAAATACACACCTTCAATATTGATAAGCTGGGGTATGACAGCAAACTGTACTATGTAGTTGAAACATTTAGGCTCTGCCTTTTTCCCCTTATATTACAAGAACTGGGGATGTTCAGGTAGCAGTATCCAATACTTAACATTTTCACGAGAACTACCAGGGTTGCAGCGGTTGCAAGTGGGACTGGGCCCTAATGCTCCACCACTGTCCTGTCATTAGTCTGTATTGTTTTAGAAAAACTGTCACATGACACCAAAAAAAAAAAAGAAGGTATCTGTAATTGGTATATGTGAGTACTTGGACAAGTATCAGCACTTGTACTTGGTCTGGAAAAAATGGTATTCGTACATCCCCAATATATAACAAATCATACATTAAAACAGGGACAGCTGCTACCTAGCTTTTGAGTTTTTCTCTAGTCTTTCAATGGAGCTGGAAAACTATCAGTACTTGTATCAAGTACGGTACTTGGTATCTATGCATCCCTAACAAGAACCTTACTACATTCTCTAAAACCATTTTACTTTCAATTATTTACTGCACTTAAAGCCTCATGTTTTTTTATACAGCTAGGCTGCAAAACAAATCAGAATGGGACAGTCGTTTTTTTTCCCTCTACATTTTGTGTGTGCGTTGTACAGTAAACTCCCCATTATCCAGCAATTAAGCAACCGGTAAAATAAAAAAATCAAGGACATAATATATGTAGCACTATGGAGAGCCAGACTGCTGCTCTCACACAAAGCATAGTGATCTGAGTCTCTCAAATAGCCACACTCCCTAGCAGGGCCGGATTTACTCTCTCTGCTGCACCAAGGCTTAGTTCCTCAATGCGCCCCCTCCCCGCCCTAATGAAGAATGGCAACCAGATGGTGGGGTTGGCAGGGTTGGTTTTCATTTTTTTATTCTTTTTTTATCACTTTTTTAATTGTATTTCTGTTTTTTCTTTACTTATTAAAAATGTTTTTTTACAATTTTTTTTACTATATCACTTTTTAATTGTTTGCAGATCTTCCCTCTTACAGTTTACATGGAGCAAAGTGGAGAACGGACGTTCTACGCTCTGCTCTCCATCCTGAATGAATGTGCCATGGTCCCGGGTTCCCCAGAAGAGTGGGAGATCCTGAAAACCACGACAAGAAGGGAGGCTGCCAGAAGGGAGAGGCAGACCATGGAGGGAGGGCGGGGGCACGACAGAGCTACATGCATATTACAAGTGATCTTGGTGACATCGCCGGGATTACTTGTACTCAAACACCGGCTTCTCCGCTCTACATTTAGCCCCGCTTGCCAGAAGCAGGGCTAAATGTACAAAAGAAAACTACCCACCCGGCGGCTGTGCCCTTCCTCTACTCCCTGCTGCCCGAGGCCAGGCCTTGTGGGAAATCCGGCCCTGCTCCCCAGCACAATGCTCCAAATCAACAACACCTATGCTATCTAAGCAGCATTGTTGATTGGAGCACTTCACAGAAAGAGAGTGTTGAACCACTAGAGACTCAGACTGTTGCACTCTGTGGGACAGCAGTGGTCTGGCTCTTCAGTGTGTTGCCAGCACAGGGCAGTTTTTACAGCACAAAGTAAACAAACATCTAAAAAATCTTTACTGGGTAATCAGCCTGAATGCAGAACAAGTTAAAAATGCAAGGACTCAATCAGGGTTTAAAAAAATCCCCAACAATCAAAACACTTGCAGGAGAAATAACCTACTACTGACACACTCCCTAGGAAGTAGTGCAAGGATCTCAAGTCCCCCTGATCTTCAGGGAGTCTCCCTCTATTAGATAGCGGCTCCCTGAAGTCCGCGAGAGAGGCATTTTCTCCCTGAAAGGTTTACTCTGAGTAAACCTTTCCGATAAGAAATCAGTGGGTAAAGTTTCAGAGTGAGGCTTGCCTCCTGGAGGAAGATCATGTGATCTCTAGAGTAGCGTTTGGCTCTAAGAAGGAAGAAGCTACTTGCTGCACAGAGAGGGCGGACATAGACTAGCATTGAGAGCAGGTACAGGCACTGCTGCAGTGTTGAGAGAGCGCATTTAACCCTTTGTGGATAATATAGATCAATTATATGTCCTGGTTGTCTAGTTATAGAGAAAATGTATTTAATTTGCTGCCCATAGCAACTAGTCAACTGTGTATCAGAGACTCTGGCGTAGGATCACAGAAGCGGACCTTTTGACTGGCAATAAGGTCTCAGGGGCATGGTAATTTCTGAATGAATTGACATCGGCAGTGATTTCATAGTGAGGCTGCTATGGATATGCTGCATTGCTCATCCGGGACTGCAGTTGGTACAGATCTCACCACACACACACCAATATTTAATGTCACAGGGGATGGAAGAATTCACCATCCTCCTTTCTTCTTTCAAACAAACCAAGATTACTCCCTCCCTAGAAGAACAAACATTCTT